CTATCACTGCATTAGTCTCCTTTTGCACATTCCAATAGAGTAGTTCATTATTCATGGGAACGAATTTATCTTCCGCTTTTCTTATTTCCGAAGCATCGGCCGGAACCTTTACGTCCAACGGTCCAGTTTGTTTATGAGTTCTCCTGCTTATCAGTCGGCTTGACAATATGGAACTGAGTAAATGAGATATCTTTTTTGTAAATTTCCGGATGTTTATGGCTCCATGCTTCAGATTTCGGCCATCACGGTCACTTTGAATTTACCCTGGTGTTTGTCATGATGGTTGAGGATCCGCCTTCGTTATACTCCAGTTAATATCTATTGTTCCCATCTCCTGAAGTTGTTGTCTATCCCTTGAGAAACATCTGAGCCTGACTGTGCATTGAGACTACAAAAGACTATGATTCTGAGATTGGCATAACGGTGTATAGATAGGTCCACACACATCCTGAAAATTGACCTCGTTTAAGTGATGAAGAAGTTTAAACTTGCTATGGTCTTGGTGAGTTCTTGATAACAGATAGATTAGCCAGCAACCCTGAATTATCACTGACGTTAACTGATTTACCAAAGTTATGTAATGCATGGCAAAATGTTTGTCCTCAAATTGAAAGCAGCGAATTTCTAGGGCATCTGTACTGTATGCTCAGGCACGACCCTGGAAGTGTTTGGGCGGAACGGAGTTACCTAGGTGATAATGACCGTAAATACGGACCCAGAAACTTTGAGATTGGTCTAGTATTGTGCTGAAATTTCACTACACTGACTTTGTTTGGGGTTTCAGCCCTATAAATAGGGACAAAACGGCGATTGTATCGGGCTTTTCACAAAAATGACAGCGGATAGAACGCCATCCACCGGGAGTTCAAATATCACACCACATCTTGGATCGCGATGTGAAGTATCCGAAATTTAGGTGGGTTTTCTACCAAGCTTCTCATGTTGACATATGGAACAAAATATATCACAGCTTGGAAGAGCAGTTAGTTTTCAACGTCAAGTCATCAGAATATTATGAGACATAAGGATACCGGAGGACCGGCGCCGTATAATAAGGCAGTCTTCGAATGGTATAGTCATCAAGCACCACAACGCCTGCACTGAGCGAGATTCGTAAATGCAAATCAAAGGCTTAGTTATCTTGTTTGTGTTTCAACATTCGGTTTTCAACATTCGGCTCATCGTCCCATTTCATTTTTTGATACAACGATACCGTCCCTCTTTTCATCTGACATATTTTGTGTATGATAAAACCTAAACAGTCAATTCAACATTCTTCAACATTCGGCTCATCGTCCCATTTCATTTTTTGATACAACGATACCGTCCCTCTTTTCATCTGACATATTTTGTGTATGATAAAACCTAAACAGTCAAAACAAGAGGTTAACATGATGAATTCAGTTCAACAAAATGATGTCTTCTGAAAGAGACTACTCGAAAAGGAACTAATCCTCCTCCAGAGTACCAAACAGAATCCATTGCGAAAGCATATGCCAAGAAGAGGTCAGTGCTTCCAACGAAACCTAGTAGCACCTTCACCTATGATAGTATTCTTTGCGGGATTACCGTGTACGAAAAAAGACAGTCTATGCTACAGATGGCCTGGCGGATGAATGACGGCTTATGCATATCAGGTTTCCGAGTGAACCATTGGCGATATTAAATATATTGCGACCAGCTGCTGTGAAGGAACGTGAACAGACCGAGCATACCACAAGCTGTTGTTGACTCCAACGGTATGTGATGTGACCACAAAAGTTGGAAGAACGCCAAACTTGGGCCAGTCTGTTTCGCAATCAAGTCCACCCAAGACGCCAAAACCAAGGGAACTATTGCTCCCAATTCACAACATGCAGTGAAGCCTGGTAGCAGAAGCCTGTTAACAGCTGAGGAGCTGAGGAGATTCATTCGCGCACACTCAACATCGATTAAACTAAACGTAAAAACATGTGAACTATGCTTTGAACAGTGATGTTGATGCAGCTTCCAGTAGAGTGTCACCGTAATGAACCGAATGAGCATTCCGATAAAGAGAATCAGCACGCAAGTTGATTACGACCTCCTACTCTAACAAACATTGCTTCACTGTGCCTCACTGCCCCTCTCCAGCTCAAAGCAGCTCGAGAAGATAGGTGTGAAGTTCTATGAAATGAGCCACTTCAGTCGATAAAGCCAAATGAAATCGCCCTGGTGAGGCGATTACTTTTTAGAAAACAACGGTTCCCCTTGGCTCCGATCTCTTACAGTCCACACACAAGTAGGCTTTGAAATAAATTTGCTTCATGTAAATACTGCATCAGAATGCAGTCTCAAAATCCACAACTAGCGTAACAACACCAAAAAGTAAGAAGGAACAAGCTCAACGGAATCACAGAACTACTCCGATTTTCTCGCTTTTCTGACTCAAAACGTTAAGCATACGTGTGGATAAGACTCAACAGATGCTTCCCCATTCTTGTTTCAGGACAGTCATCGAATTTTGCGCACTTTCACACAATCACTGTGCCAATATATTATATGAGAACTCAGTCGGGTTCTGGACCAAATGCTGGTCAGCCTAACACTAACAGAATAAACAAAGGCTGACTCTGAAAAGTCTTAGAGGTGTGAAACTGTGCGCAGTCCTGTCCGAATTCCCACCGTTTCGTCTCGTCGTAGCAACCAGTAGCAAACAACTTGTCGACGCCCTCTATCGGAAAGATTTAATTAACAAGAGCAATAGGGACGGATATTAGTAATCAATTTGCTCGGGTAACCCAAATAACAAGTCTAGGGTCATGAGAAACCATGACAACAAACGTGAGGCGACTTTGTGGTCGAAATTCAGTGCTGGGATATGGAGAGAAAAAACCTGCAGAATGGATCCTCTTCACAATTATCCCTGTCTTCCATAAGGGTCCAAAGGCATGTGTGAAAACCACCGTGGCATCAGCTCATTAGGTGTGCAATCGAAATTGTTCTCTGGTCTAACTTTTTGAAAGTTGACTGAACGAGAGGCAGATCAGAGGAAAAACCAAGCTGCATTCCATCTTGAATCAATCACATTTTCACCCTCCGACAAACTACGCAACAACAACACTGCTTCCAGCAACCAATGATGGTTGTGGTACTTGACTTGAAAGCAGTCTTTGACTTTGTGGGCCGCCAGGTACAATGGAAGTGCCTATGGAACTAAGGTGTCCACTGTACATTCTTGACTCTCATTAAGGCTCCGTACATGAACTCCCGCGAAAGCGTGAAAATCTAAGGGAAGGTTTTGCCTGAGTTCACCACATCAAGTAGTGTCAGGAAAGGCAAGTGGTAGCACCTTTCATCTTTTCTCTGTAACTTCGTCCCTGATACTACTGTGGAAGACTCAGTACCAGCCTCTAATGCCTGTGGGGTCAAAGTGATCCCCCGAGCCATCGCTCACAGATATCGTGCAGGCGACGACATAGCTCTTCTTGAGTCAGACACCGTGGTAATGCAAAAAATATTAAATAATCCAAATATTTTTATCGCAAGATTTGGCGTACGTTTCACAACTGAAATGCTGCTGCAAGACTGGTTGCGTTTCAACCCTACCCTCATGCTTGCGGATGAGGCGATTGAGATAGTAGACAAATCTGTCTACGTGTACAGCTGTATCAGTCTCGGTAGTGTCTTGAAAGATGACATTTCCATCCGGATCTGGAAGGCCAGAGCAGCTGAAGTACGTCGATTGGTCTACGGAACAGATAACTCAACAACGAAAGATGAACCGATCACACTGCACAGGTTGCGTTGACTTGGTCACGTGCACCATATCTCAGTCGACCGACTTCCTCGAAGGACAATAAACCAAAGGCTGGGACAGCCAGAAAAGCTCAAACAGTGAGTTGGTAGCGAAGTATTGAAGTCATCACCAAAGAAATCAGCTGCGCTGTTTAATGCCGATACCTAATGGGGATCCCAAGATGGGATATATCGATGGTGCTCCTGCATCCAAGCTACTGCGATCAGTGTATAGCTTCCTTCCTAATTTCCTCAGTTATATATATATATATATAT